GAGGAGATCCCTCAGGAGACCATCCGCCACCTCATCAGGAGCATGCCCAGGCGTTGTAATGAGGTCATACGGGCATGTGGAGGCCACACACACTACTGAACCTCATTTTGACTTGTTTTGAGGACATTACATCAAAGTTGGATCAGCCTGTAGTGTTGTTTTCCACTTTAATTTTGGGTGTCACTCCAGATCCAGACCTCCATGGGTTGCTAAATTTGATTTCCATTGATAATTTCTGTGTGATTTTGTTGTCAGCACATTCAACTATGTAATGAACAAGGTGTATTTAATAAGAATATTTCATTCATTCAGATCTAGGATGTCTTATTTTTGTGTTCCCTTTATATTTTTGAGCAGTGTAGTTGCTTTTCTGAAAGGGGAAGAGAAACTAACAGGGAAGGGTCATTAGCAGGGTTACCTATTGCCCTATTATAATGTCCAGTGAGAATGAGACAGAATGAGATGTAGGCTGCTGTACAGAAGTCTTTCTGCATCTCCTCAGCAATAGTGCCAGTTTCTAACTTTCTTCTAGCAAGCAAGGGCTGTCCCCATGAGCATAATATTTTGAAGGAACATTTATACTCTGCACAAACATAGCTTCAATCAAGTCAAGCTTGCCTAGTCAACAGTGTTAATACTTTTCTGCTGCCCTCTTGTGGTTTCCTCACTTTTCTGCATCAACACTTCTCACCTCCAAAGTAAAACATGACTTTCCATCCATCCATCCATTATCTATACCACTTCTCCTAACAAGGGTTGCAGGGGGCATGGAGCCAATCCCAGCTCTCAGAAGTGTTCCTAATATTCTGACCTTCTGATATATCTAGCTGAGGAGGACAAAAGTATAGAGACACCTCTAGTCCAGTACAACACCACCTCAATATGACCTCAATAATAAACATGATGTATACCATACCATACCAACTTTATTTATAAAGCACTAAAACAACCAAGGTGGACCAAAGTGCTGTACATTACAATAAACAATAAATCAAAAACACAACCCAAGCACAAATAAGAGCGACACCAAAATATAAAAACATACATTTATTTATACATTTATGACAATTTCACCAAAAACGAAATCATTTCCAGCTGAACTCCTTACATAGCTTGAAGTAATAAATTATTAGCTATACATCATAAGACAATTTGTTTCATTTCAGACTGACAAAAGTAGAGATACTGTAAATAGAGTAGCTGAACTCTTGCTTAGCTCTCCTTTTAGTCATCTCCACTTGTATTCAGATACATTGTAGGTGATGTGAAGTTTTTCTCTGTATCACAAGTGCTTAAATTTAGCAACAAAGAAAAGCCAACATGACTTAAATAACTTTGAAGTATCAGATAGGGCCAGCTAATATGAATAAGAAAATAATTTGCATTTTCTTGAAAATAAAAAATGTTTTTAAAAATTGATTAATAAAAGAGAATTACTTTATTAATTAGATTATGCTACTTGGTTTATGCAAGTGAAATGAATGAAAACAGTTTACCCACTGACCTGATTGTTGTTGTACTTTGTAGTGTGATCTGTAGGGGGAGCTGTGGCTCTTCATAGCTCAGCCTGCTCAGAGTATGGCTGCAGACATCAGGACTCAACGGGCTTTGGCTGAGAAAGGTTTAGTCACAGCCAGAGGGTCAAAACCAAGGAAGATGTCTGACCTTTAATCATGCCTCTGGCGCATGCTGGATGATTAACATCTCTGTAGAAAACAACAGTAACAAGTGCCACAAGCAGGGTCCCACATAATCACCTGGCTCTTGTGCACACAGTTACATTAAGGCCCAGATAATCAGCACAAATCAGTTCCTGAGGTTCAGTTTGTTAACTCAATCACCACACTTCAAATCTCCTTTAGTACCTGTGCATAGAGGCCACAGGTGGGTTGACTGCCCTCATTTGGATAATATGGTTGATTTCTGTCTTATCAGCCGCGGCCCTGCCCCTTGGGTTCCCTGTTAAAATATGATGGTTGTATGGAGGCAAAAGCTGCTGAAACAGTCTGCAAATCCAGGATTACCTTATCTTCCCTGTAGAGAACACTGGATATTTTTAATCTTGCATGCTGTTATTCCCTTGGAAGACTTATTAAGCTCCTCAGAAGCCCCCCTGAATTAAAGATTTTATTCAGTGCTTTCCTTGTTGACTGAAAGGTTTCAGTAACATTACAAAATCATTTAAAACTTGCACAAATAGATTTTTGGCCACTTGGGGGTAGCACAACCAACTGACACTTTTGACAATATTTTAAGATGTTAATGAACTTGTTAGCTAACAGTTCTGGTATTTCAATTTATGCCCAAATAAACTGCAGCTAGATTTGTCAAACATCACTTCATTATGAGTAAAAGTCATTTAACCTCCTGGATAATTATCATTAGTTGCCACCTCATTTTTTCTAATTTGCTTTTATAATAAGTTCTTTAGATATTAACTGCCTTTGACATTCACACTACAAAAACCATGTACTCTCAGTATCTAAGATAATAAACCTGGTGTGTTTCCAATCCTTCTCAACAGACACGCTTGTGCGAGCAGGGTTATTGGATGTTTTGAGGTCACTTCCTCTGAGAGCAGTGTGGGCACTGAGGCAGTGCTCTGGTCAGCAGCCTGGGCCATGTAGACTGTGGTAAAATGGACTTACCAATCAGGAGCACAGCAGCAGAATGTCTCCCCAAAGTCCCAAGGGTCGGAGCAAACGATGAGTCTGTGTGTACCTCACTGCAAAAGCAGCAACCAGAGTTTGTTCTGCTCTATGTGTTTTAGGAGTCAGCCTTGCCACAAAGACAAAACTATCAGCCACCAGCAGACATCAAACTCAAAATAACAGTGGAGGATACACATGAGTTGTGAGATAGTGTTTTCATCTTCCCTGCCTGTATATATGTACAGAAGTTTCTGTTGTTAAGTTATAGCCCACTTAACCTCTGGTGAACTGCGGACAAGTGGAGGATGACCACACACTGTGCCTTTCCAGACACTCTGCTTGGCTTTAACTTTGGACTTTCCACCTCTCCAGAAATACATCCTGCCATTGTCAACTTCACTTGAGGAACAGTTCCAGTATTGTTTACATAAAGGGTGATAGCAGTGATTTGGATATTGCAGATCTTAAAATTGGTTTGTTTTTTTGTGTGAGTGAGCATACACTTATCTCACAAAGATAATATATCTTTGACCAATCTTAAAGCTGCTTTGATCAATGTTTTTAAATTACCACTGCTTCAAATGACTACATGATCTGTGAAAAAGATGATGAGACTGTCACCACACTGCACTACCCCTTCCCTCAGCTCTAAACATTGTTCCAGTATTTCAGCTCATTGTTTTGATTTCACAGCCCACGACCTTACTCCATTGGTTCACTGTAACTACTTTCATAGAATAATTTTAATTTAAGAGGAAACAGTTTTCAGTGAAAAAAAAGATCTGATATGATCCTGTACTATCTATCCTTGAACCCCTAGACCTAACATTCCAAGTAATGGATTCACGAGTTGTGGGAAATGGTTAAAGAGTGCAAGGTCCCTGCTGTGGCCCTTTAAAGTTACAGTACAACCAGTTTAACTATATGTCAATTAGGGATATAAATGCACAGAGGACACAGAGGTCTTCTGCACTTTTCCTAGAAATGTGTGGTGTTTTAGAGGATTTTCCATTATACAATAAAAAATAAAGTATTCAAAATAAGAGTATTTTATAGGATTTGACTACCAGAAAATTAGTTCAGTGTTTCCCCACCAAAACCTGACAGTTTGGAAAAAGCTTAGAAACAGGTTTTGGGAAATACAATATAAAGAAAACATAGCTGAATAAATAAAATATGACCACAAAAATGTAAAGACATTATATAAGGAAACATAATTTTCTGAGGGTGTTGAACTCATGGCTCTGCTAGCTAAAATTTACCTTTACCCCAGATATTTTCAGTGCTTCTGGCTTAAGAGGCCAACTTAATTAAAGCTTATGAAGCAACTTTTTTGAGATATTATTTCCCAGTGGTGACTAAAAGTAAACACGATGTTTATAGAATGATGATGTGGCTTTGTGAAAGTTATTTTACATAAATGAATGGCAGCAAATTTCTTCTGAAGGAACAATATAAAAGACAAAAGGGATCTGCTGTCCCTTATAATTGAGTTTGACCTGTATATCTGAGGGAGAACCCCCTTGTGTCCACTCAGATCCACCTGATTCAGCTAGCATGTCCTCCCCCAGGCTCTGGAACTGTAGTTACATAAAGATCATTTCATAGGAGAACTCCCAACTGCTCTACATTAAATGTGCTGTAAATCAGAAACAACATATTTGGCAAACTTTGCTCCACATCAGTCAAATATTTGCTCATATATTACAATATATATTGTGAAGTCTTATAATTTTTTTCTTAAAAATAAATGTAATTTTTACCTCTATTCTGAGGTATGTTTACTCTAATACATCTTTCTGTAAACTTGTCTCATAATGTAGTTTCCCTCCATTTGACACAATAATTAAAATGAAACATTCTCACCCCAAAAGTAGTTTTTTATTTGAGAAGAAGAAAAATGTTGCACATATGTTACAAGCTTATGCTAATTTTGATTTAAAAAATGTAGCAAATACATAATAAGTTAGAAATAAGTTTTCAGGTTTTGTTGAGTTTCAGTTAAAGTGTAAATAGTATTTTTATGTTTTTTACATCGACGGTTCTCGTGGAGTTTTTGAAGAATTGATGTTGTGTTGGTGTGTGTGTTTTCTTGGCAGATGTGTGCTCTGTGTGGCAGCTGAAGGAGCTGTCAGAACAATTTGTCTTATGCGGACTTGTGTCACTTTGTGTGGGCTGGTAATTTACTACAAATTATATTTTATGCTCTCTGCTGACAGCCTGCCAACACTGTAGAATGATAAAGCCAGTGAAGCTGTTTGTCAACTTCCAGCTTCCTCAATCCCCTAACGCTCACGGTCTTTGTGCAGTTGCAGCCTCACCCTGCAGGTAAGGTCAAGGGCATGACAACACATTTAAATCTTTAGCCTAATAAGTCAAAGAGCCAGCCCATCTGGAGTGCAGTTTATTGCAGAGCAGCAGGGGGAGATGGCAGTGTGTTAGGAGGATCCTTTAAAAGATCCTGCAGCCACTTATTCCTTTTTTTTATTTTTTTTATAAAAATGACACCCACTGACAGCCCAGCTGTTGAACCAATTTCATGCTCACAGGAAAGTTATGTGTGAGGTGATGCAACCATGATGTTAGAGTGGATGGCAGTGCAAAGAAAGAGACAAAAAAGGATCCACTTAAATGGGCACTATGATAATCTTTGAAGAAATACAAACTGCACGCTTGGTGTCAGAGAGTGTCTTTATCTGTGACAAGTATGAGAGGTGAAGGTTACAGTATGTACCCACTGCAGCCACCACCACTAATGTTGTTTACTGCAAGACAGAGCCTTCCAGATCAAGGACAGAGACATCGGAACATCCTCCTCACTGCCGTGCCTTCATAAATATTTCATAACTGGGGTAAACAGTTTTCTGAAAGACTGTGAAGAAACAATTTGATTTGCTTTTAAATGAATCAAAAGGAGGTTTCTACCTCTACACCTGCAGACTGAACCTACGAGATAGGATTCATGCTCCATGTGCTATTAAAGGCTCTATAGTGAAGTGTTAATAGTATTTAGAAAGTATTCAGCACCAACAGGATCAGAAAAGATGACATCACTGCATCATTTAAATGAGCAACAGTAACTTCAGGTAATGTGATGGCGGTAGTGATTAGCTGAACACTGTGTTTTTTTTAGCAAGGATCCCAAGAAAGAAGGCAGAAAAAAGGCAAGCTCATCAAACTGGCAGATGAATTGAAAGGTGGAGGGAATAAACAGGAATTAATTACTTTTGTAGTGTTTGCAGATTCATGTTTGTCTCTTCCTTTTTGTGTCAGTAGTAATTATGCAGGCACCTATGGGAGAGGACTGGGAGGGAGATGAAAGCTCTGTGAAACCAGAACATGAACAAAGCCTGAAACAGAAAGAGGGGTCCAGTGCTTGAACGCCACACCATGACAGACAACCTTTGGGACTGTTCTTATTCAGCTGCCAGGAGCCTTTTAGGATTCGTTTTATCTGCTCTGCCTTCCCATACGCCTGCCCCTCTGGATGGTCCTCCACATGATTTGTGTCCAGTTTGGCTTCACTTGAGCCAACACAGCAGACACACTCTGACTCCTCTGCAATCAGCCTGTCTGTCTTGTGTTTGAAAGCTGTTAAACCTCTTTTCTGCATGAGTGGGTTTGTTTGCATTTAATTGAAATGTCACTTCAGGCTGTATGTTTCAAACGCTGAATTTGAAATCTAGTTTAATACATACAATTAGTTGTTGTTTTTTTTAATCTGATTTTTTATTTTCTTGGCGGGATTCCTGTTTGAAAAACATTCTGTGATTGGTAAGAGCATTTTTCCTCTTTTCGGTGTGAAGATCTTTGTCATCATTTACTAAGAAAGTTAACCCTTCTACTTTGTGGATGTTTCTCATAAATTCTCAATTTGTTCCTTGTAGGTCAAAGACGACTACAGCCATGCTAGGGCAGTGCTAATATGCTCATAGTGAAAATGCTAATATGGATGATGCTAAGTAAGTAAGTAATTAATTAGCATGTTCAAAATTGCTTATCAGACCCAAACATGGATTTTTGATGGTATTATCTTTGCTCTGGTATTTATTCAATAACCAAAAAATATAACCTGATGATAGCAGAATTTTAATTTTTGACCATTTCTGAACAATGTACAGTATATTATATTATTGTGTTATAGTCAATGGTGCATTATTGTGTAGTGTGTACATTTAATGTTGCAGCTGAAAAGATGGCAGTGATTTTTTATTATTTGATATCTTGTGGGATAATTTACTGTATCTTATCTACAGTATATTGTCAGTGTGTGGTTCAGTTTGCTCATTTGGATCCAGACATTTAAGCAATTTTTTGGTAGATATCATGAATATTTGGGCATTTTGAAACCTGGTATTCACACTATTGGTGCAGTGACACTGAAATCACTCCAAACATTTTTCTACATTCTTTATATAACCTGATAAGATGTACTTTAAAAAGCTGCTCTAGAGATAAACGCAGTTGAATCAAATTCAATACACGGCACATCTGGGTTCTCAAAAATCCTTTTAGGGGCGGTTGAAAGTCCCTGTTGCTGGCACTCAGCTCCTGTGTTCTTCATCAGACCCAAATTAGTGGCATTAAACTCTGAGAGTCATCTCATAAATGGATTTCTCATTGTGTGTGAAGCCTCATCGGGAAATCAGTGCACCATTTGGCCATCTGTCTTTGTGCTTCCTGCCTCCTAAGACACTTTGTCAGAATTCAACACTCTGTGGTCTTAACCACACTCACCATCCTGTTGTCTCTAAGCACTATCAACTACATCTTCCATATGAACACATGTTGGGCTTACAGGCATGTCAGACAGCATTACACATAATGTGTCCCTAAGAGCTTTTTCTATGCTGTAAGTCCCCAGTGAATGGCATATGCATGCACTTTCTTTTCTCTGTAATCAACAGAGATCTATTTATTACTGACATCACATCCATTTCTGTATAATGTTTGAAGAACCAGTGCATCTGTGCCTTCTTTTAGCACATTAGTTCAACATCCTCTTTGTGATACCTCTGTACAAGGTAAAATCTCTGTAATGATTTTATTTCATTATTTCATTTCAAACTCAAATAAATACACATTCTGTGCTGATGCGACAAATATACATACAGTTAGAGCCTAGCTAATAATTCATTTTGATAGGTATTGTTTGACATTTTGGGAAATATTCACTTTCTTACTGGAAAGAACATAAGGTTGATATCACTCTCCTTTCAGTATGATAAATATGTAGCTAGACCCAATAGACAGTTAACTTATCTTACCATAAACTGGAAACAAGGAAGACAGCTATCGGTCTGAAGGTCTGTTTAATATTAAAATCCAAAGTGTTGAAACGACAATGCCTTTTTACAGATGGTGGATGATCTCTTGGCACAAGATACCTATAATATGTTAGTCCATGAGTGCACAGAGTCAGATTTTGCTACCTGTGGACAGAATCAGCCTGTTTTTGAATAAATTTGCTGACATTAAATAATGATGATGCAACACTTGATATTATTTTTAATATAAGTACTTGATAAGACTGATAATGATCCCTTAAATTTGGTTATTAGTATTGTGTGTATTAGTACTGTGACCATGATACAGTATGAACTGAGTACCAAGTGGGATAACTGACACAGACCCTGTATCCTAATGTCTTAAAGGGTCTTAGGCATATACCATGTTAACCCAGTTTCCCTGTTTTAATTCCAGCTAAATCTATCCCCCGGTGCTCAAAATGTCTTAATATATACAGTGATACGGATACCTGTGATAAGCTAACAGTGGTCAGCATGGGCCATGCCAATCCACTGGTCGGACTCTAATAAAATAATCCATTAAAATTATAGCTAATTTCACAGTTAACTAAAATCTCTCTTGGTTAAAGGGAACCAGTGAAAGAACCAAGAATTACACAGAACAAAACTAATTTCACCCTGGGACACTGATCAAATACTATTTTTGTACAATTTGTTAATAATGTACCATAAAACTAAAACAAACTATCCATAAATTATACCATACCTTTGGAATATTTTTGTTTATATATTATATTATATTCACTGTCCCAGTTGTCACTCTGTTCCTTTTTTGTAAGACAATTTCATCTTCATATACAAAACTATTGCAACATGCAAAAGTAGATTGAAACATACCTTTACAAAGACAAAATACATTTAGTGATAGAAGATGAGCTGATGGGGTCCAACGCACACCGCTGGTGACATAGCTAGATTTCATTAAATGTTATCATGTTTAATCATGAATAAATATTAACACTGATATTATGATATTATTACTCCATCAGTGACTGGCCTTCTCAGCACCTGGCCACATTTCTTACCCATCTGCTGGCTGCCTGTGAGAACAATGGCTGGGCTCACACACCAGTGAAGTCACCGGCCAAATTGGCCGACTCCATTTGGAGCCACAGGCCAAGCTGGCCTCCCTGTGGAGTGGCTCTTGGATATTTGGTGTGCTCACTGTTCTGCTGCTAATTGTGTGGCAGCTCTGGCAAATGAGTCTCTCTATCACTCCATTGTGTTTTCCTGTTTTGCCAGTGACAGTGCCAGCCCAGCGGGACAAGGCCGGGGCATACAAAGCATATTTGGACTGCATGGCTTTTGTCTTTTCTTTTTTTGGCTTGGTTATATTTCTCCTTGATTCAGTGCAGCATCTGGCAATTAGAAAAAATATTCCACTCTAGTGCACCATGCTAATTACATTACATAAACATCATATTCTGAATAACTATCAGTATGGAAAAACACCTGAATTTGCTTTGGTTGCTTTAAGTTACTGGGCTACTGACAAACTAAACCATGGCCTTCAGGGGGCACTGTTGTATCAGGCAACATCCCACTGTAAGAGCTGAAGGAGGAGGCCCTATCTGTGTGTTCTCACTTAATAAGACAATGACATTATATTCTTATCCAGACTAACCTCTACCTGGAGAAAGAGACAGATTGCATGGCACTTTCCCTCCTGCAGCAAATTAAATCAGAATCCCATTACAGAAAAACAGATAACACTCCCACAATTCAATACCATTGCTGTATGACCAAAACAGGAAATATGGTACATGTTGACTGTGCTGGATATATATATTTATATATCAGTTCAGGGATGAATAGTTGGACAGTTATCAGTGTGGGGAGTCCATATAATCGACACCATGTGTGCTTAAGAATGATAGCTGCTCTGCTAATAGAACTGAGTTCATTTGAATTACGGCTGAATTACTGGAGGACTGCTGATCCCAAGGAGAACAATAGGTATGATCCTGAGCCTGGGAACATAGTGGTTTTATAAGCATATGTAATTAGTTGGAGGTTACATATGTTGTCTCTGTTTTAGAAGCAGAACTAGAAGCATTCAGATAATGTGCTGTATAATTTCCTTGACCTTGCCCTGACTATTTCACTGCATTGCTCTCCTGGAAATCCTTGATTGGCCTGCCCCTCACATCTCACCTCTGCTCATTCCTCTACCAGTTAAACCCACTCAGTCCTCAGGTATTTAAATAAGGATTTGATTTTCTTTGTGTTATTGGCCTCCTTCTCCCCTCCCATCCTTCGCTACAAATGATCTCTAAACACTAATGAGTACATGTCTAAAAATACCCTCCTTGCCCAGAGAGTTGGATGTGTCATGGTGCATACTGGGCTTTAACAGATGTTAATGGTCATGGAACATCAGAGTGGTGTAATGAATAGAGGCTCTGCTACTTCATTTAGAGAGAATATTTTATTATTCAACATGCATCCACCCACTGAAATTCTGCAGCCATAGATTTAGTTTAGTCGCCCGCTACACCTCTGCTGGCTACCTTTTTAACATACCAGCGGTGTTCCCCGTTACCATAGTAACACTGCATGACCTTTCCTGAGAGGTTGAACTCTTGGCAGTGTGCTGCTCGAAAGAATTCTTTCCTCTCCATTCACCTAGTGATGTTTGCAGTTGGAAATGTCCTCTGGTTTGAAGGATGAGGAAAGTGTTCCAACTCAGGGTAAAAGAAAACGGAAGGTGATGGATGGAGCCGCCACCACCCTCGTCTAATTAACTGACAGGGTCCCCTCACTAGCTGCATGAAGTCCCAGTGACTCAGTTCATGGAGAAATGTGTGGACTTGGCCAAATTTGGTTTTACCAACCTTCTCCACAGGAGAAAATGGAAGCATGCTGTAGTGAATAAATGGGCAGTTAATAATGGAGAGGTGGCAGCCCAGAAAAATTGTACATCAGACCAGTACATACTTAGTATTTAGCAGCTTTTGTTGTGGTTGCAGCCTTATTTTGCATACGAAGAATACTGGAAGAAATGGATAAACATTTGGGGAAGTTTGCTGAGATTTGTTTCCCCTTTGAACAGTGTTTATTGTAGTGCTGCTCGCCATGATTGCTGTTAGGGCTTAATTTAGCTCAATATTGGGTTATGATCAAGTGTTATTTTTAGCCTAGCTTAGAAAGAAACCTGGAGGCAGCAGGAAAGCAGCTAGTCAGGCTCTCTCCAATACTAATTAACATGTTGTATGTTGTTATTTTGATTCATACACAAACAAAAATGTAAAATGTGATTTAAGGGGGAGTTGTATGGTGGACTAATACTGCTTTTACACCATTTCTGCAGAATAGGCAGAAGACACAATGCACATATATAAACCCACATTACACACACATACATCACACATTATTCCAAGGCATCTAGCAAAGACATTCTTACATTTCTGTTTGTGTACACATTAAACAAATAAAATATAAAGTGTTGACTAATGAGGTGTAGAGATGCTGGTAGGCAGAACTTTAGAGACAGCCAGGTAAGTCATTCTTCCTGCTTCAAGTCTTTATGCTAAGCTAGGTAAATCACTAATTTGCTTCTGGATCTTTGCATCCAAATCTACAACTCACTGAACTGAGTAGCTCTGGTGTTATGTTCATTTTCGTCAGCTGGATAAAGAGCCCACTAATCAGAGCTTTGGAAGTGCAGATTCAAAATGTTGCTATGATCTAGAGTGGATGAGACTGAAACAGTGTTGTAAAATGACTTGAAGAAATAAAGGTCTGTAAACTCTAACAGTGTCAGTGTTGATAATTAATTATTGTTAGGGAAAATAAAACATACTCCCCAGCCCCGAAGCCCAACATGGCTAATAGTCTTCTTTTAACATATTAGATTTGAATATTTACCAAAATTTCTTAAAAACTAGTCATGGCTTTGTCTGAATCTTTAGACTTTCCACAGGGAGACAGCAAGAATGCCATTTTACAAACACAGTGATGCATGATGACTGTGTGGCCACATGAGGAGAAACTCTATAGATGGTTTTATCAGACTCCTTAGTTCATGATAACCAGTGCCAGCCCAGCAAAATGTTTGCAGTATGAGAGTCAGCTGTAAGCGGGACCCGACACCTTGTTTTCCCTCCGTGAGAAACTGAGGGGAGACATGAAAAGTGGGCCTCCCTCTGTTTCTGCCCAAGGGTTTGAGTCTAATTCAGACAAGATGTTGGATGTTCAGCAGCCTCCTTTTCTCATTTGTGGTGCAGATCTAGATGAAAAGTTAGTGAGCGGCGGGAGCAGACCTTTCCGTAGGGGTTGCATTAGATATTACAATATAAACTTCCTTCAAGGCCAAGGTCAAAGATGGCTCCTATTTGCACCTTATTTCATAGCCAGGAAGATAACCGACCCATGCAGAATCCATCTGGTTCACATGGAGGTCTTGTTTAGGAATGGCCTTTGCAGCACGCAATGCAGCACAGCTCGCACAGCCCCATACATGAGAGGAAAAGAAGGACTGTGAGAAAGGAAACAAAGATTTGTTTTCTTCTATAGAAAGGGACTTCAGCTACAACACTGTAACCAAATGAAAACAGAACTTTAGTTCAGGCTGTGATAATTTCACGAGTTTCCAAGCCCAGGCTATCAGTGAGTCTGTTGTCTTTGTATAGACTCGCTGAGCATGATAATGGCAGTGTGACCTCCTCTTCTGTCCTCATGGCCTGCTTTGTGTCCTTCACAGGTGGTAATCAGATACAGTGGACTGATTGTAGAACAAATGACCCAGGGCAGTCCAGCTGCACAGGAGTACGGTTTCAACCCTCAAATGATGATGTCACCGCTCCCATGTGACAGGGCTCAGTTTCACTGTCAGATCAATTATTCACAGCATTTAATTGGATCAGCTGAATCCAGATCGCTCCAGGGATCCATTTCCAGTAACAGCAGCTACAAATAAACCCTGAGCCAGCACACAAGACACAAGGCTCCAGATCAGTATCCGCACAACATCCGACAACAGCACACCTCACTGACTTTATAAAAATTACCCATGTGACATGCAAGTTGGCTTTATTGAAGGAAATAATCCATATGTCAAAGTATACATTTCATTCTTTTTAGTTAAATCTGGGTTGTTCCACTTTGTAACAGGAGGAGGGAGTGAAGGTGATGATCTCAGAGCACTGGGTGAAGGCCAGACTCTGATGCTGCTGCATTCATTAATCACACAGTCGCATACAGTGGCGTTCCCAGCCTCTTAGTCATCAGATATTCCCCTGGCCTCTGCTCTACTCCCACCTCCAGGCCTTCCAGTCAAAGGTGGCCTTTGTGCTGGGGGGGGGTCAGAGCTGACCACAGCAGACAGTCCTACTCCCCCCATTAGTACTGGATTTCAGGATACAGACTATAGCACAGAGAGCCTTCCATTCACAAAGTGGGGGATCAGAACACAAGGCCTGTATCTTTGTGGAAATGAAGAAAGAGCAGCCCATTGATCTTCGGTCTTAGGATGGTAGTCACACATGCAAAGGTCTCAGGAAAGCTACTTTTCCAACTAAACACAGACATCTTTGTTTTCACATGAAACCCTCAGTGTTTATCTTCTCTTCTTTCAAATGTTAACTAAGTGTTAACCACTGTAGAAACAATTTATTTAGCATTAGTTTCATATATTTTATACCCGACTCATTTTTATTAATAAGTATGCAGGTATGTCAGTGAATGGTCGTGCTAATCACCAAAAGCCCTAAGTTGGTAAGTGAAAGGCCTCTGGTTCTCATCGTCGTGAAATTGTCCTGAAGGTATGAATACGTCTCTTTCATTCCCTCCATGTATGTAGTCTTCCACCACCTATAGAGGCAGAACTCACAAAGTGCTAAGTGTCTTTTGAGAGGTTTATGCTCTTTAGCAAAATGTAAAAAAAAAGAACCTAGCTGTTATTCCATTCATGTCATATCCTTTTAACTAGAGAAATGACTAGAGAATGAAGGCTTATGGTACTCAGTGACCTTAAAAACACTGAAGCAAAGCTAGTTATAAACCTCTTTATAAGTTTACTTCATAATGACTGCAACTCAAGTGGCCCCTTCGAACTCTAGCATTAGCAGCAGTACAAGCATTGCCCCAAAATCTAAACACAATTAAAAATCAATGGGATTTCTGCATGGATTAGAGTGGGCACAGAGTGCTGATTAATGTTTTCCCAGATTCTAATTCTATTAATCGTGTGTGCTCAGGGCGAAGGCCGCCTCAGCTGATGTACAACCAGCAGCTCCGCAGGGTGCATTGACCTTGTGACTCAGGACCTTTTCTGTTTCCCTTCAACCTTAGTCTTCTATGAGGATTAGTTTAGCTTTAGTCTTAGCAAGGTTGGAACAAGAAAACATGGGCACAGCAGGCCTTAAAAATACTTAAAATCACAGAAAATGCCTTTATATGTTAGACCTTCTATTCATGTCCTTGTACCTGTCTTTCTGTGTGCAAGTGAGGACCTTCCAGCAATCAAGTGCTCACAATGGCTTTCACAATATTGATGGTGCTAGGCATAGTAAGCACGGGACAGTTACATATTCAGAGTACTGTATTTATATGATAAAAGAGACATTATCTTAGGCCAGCAGAGACTGCTGACTTGCTCTTCATAAATAAAGCAGCATGTGACATGCTATGTGTGTCAGAAGCTGCTGTTCATTCATATTATGAAATATGTGATTCAGTTTTGCACTTGACTTGCCAGAGTATGTACAATAATGTTTAGTAAGGCATATGGGACATTATATATAGAATGGTTGGTACTGTGTGGGCGTTCACTGGAACATTGCTGTTTGAACATTTCCCTGGTTTTTGAATACATGCCCTGAATTGGGCATTTTAAATATTTGAATTAACTTACCATACTGTGTACTGACTTATCATTTGCTGAAATGTTGTGCTTGTCCATTACCTCTGTTTTTGCAGTTAGCTCTAAAATGAATTACATTCACATCAGCCTCAGTTGTACTTTAATGCTAATTAACAAATGTTAGCTCTCAGTACAATAGTAAACATCTGCATGTTTGCGTTGGTATTGTGAGTTTTTGCATGCTTATTTTAACATTTATCTCACAGCCTCTGAGCACAGCCACACAGAGCTGCAAGCACTGCTATAAATGCTTACTCATGTTTTTCTGAAAATAAAAACTGGTGGTCACATTGAAAAAGCCACATGATACTGTGTTGAGATAGCTGGGGAATGCATGACTAATGTTAAACATCACAAACTGTGCTGCCAAGTCTTGACCACTTATGTAAGCATTCTCTGTTGTGTCCTCAGCTCTGACTAAGACAGTTAATTTGATCTGAAAATCATCTCAATGGAGCCACACCTTAATCATGGTTGTGCTCCCCTACTACTGACCAGCAATCAAAGGGACGATGATTACTGCCTCACATACTGTAGCACGGTCATCATCATAGCTCTGATTTTAGCAGCATTTCCCAAACAAAAACAGAAACAACTCTTTTGTACAAACATGACCTGACAGGAAAAAGGGCTGGGATAAGAGACTGCAGGTAGTCAGAGCTGATTCAAGTTGCAGAAGTGAACCAAAGCAAAAAAAAAAGAAGCTTAAATGGAACAGACAAGCCTTGGTTCCTCCAGGGCAATTATGAAACTAACCTTTACTGTGAAATGATTCTCGATTCTGATGTTTTCATGAAACACTTCTATTTCTGGACTAACCTCCCATCGTCCTTGCCAGCCAAGTACACAAACATCAGAACATAGCACAATGGACATCACTTCGAGTGTTACTGTGGATGGCAGATGTAATCATCCAAACATGCAAAGAGTGCATAAGAGTATGTTCCTCTGATAAAAGGATATGCACTGTCACACAACATGGATGCACAAAGTGAAAGTACAAAACAACAGGGGCATTTTTTACATTTTTGTGCTGGAGAAGATGTCCTTTATAGTATGTATATTTATTGCGCACATGCACCAGCACACAGTACAGTCTTTTTCCTAGTGCTCACATGAAAGATTCAAATTAGGGTTGAGCAACAATAGCATTGCATAATTCTTCTTTGTTTTCTCTGGGATGGATATGGAAACTGTACCGAACAAAAAGCCATGCAACAGCTATGTTTAATTCCCACTCCCATCTCCCACAAAGAACAACAAATCCCTCACAAACACACACACTCTCTCCCTCTCTCTCTCTCTTTTGGCCCTGTGGCAGCACACACTTAATGTTCGCCTTCCCTTACAGAGTGAGCTCACCAGTCTATGTGTGTTACAAATATTCTCAGCTCCCCCAGCCAAGTCTGCTGTGCCCCCATCACACAGCAAAACACATGCATGTGTAATTTTTTTGGCCCGGAGGACTGACAAACAAAAAAGTAACAGTTGGTGTGCATGTGTATGTTGTCTGCTTGTGCCAATATGTTTTCTGTTTCTCATATTCGTAGATGTGAGTGAGCCTGGAATGCTTTGTGTTTCTGGATAGCAAATCTCCAAGTGCTCTCTAGCTTTCTCCTCTGAGCAGGGTCAGAGGCCACAACATATATTGTCCCAATATGGAAACTGCTCTTCCAGCTCTGCAGCACAAAAGCTGGCCACAATGAGCTCTTTGTCACAGATGCCAAAGACCTCAGTCAGACCTCAAAACTGCCTTCAAAATTATTAACAAAAGATTTTTTTAATTTGTGTCCCAAATACACAATAAATAAGATAGTGTTTTTACACAGTAAAGACGTAAAAAAAAAACAACAACATGTAAATCTTTTCCTCTTTTGTCTGTCTGTAATCTTCAAAACAGCCTCAGAACAATTTGGCTCAACTCCAGCTGTTATGAGAGGAAGAGATTTTCTAGGAAGAGGGTGCGGGAGTGCATAAAAGGATGAAAATGGAGGGAGAGCCACAGAGGAGGAGGTGGGTCTGCTTTAAAACCCTGTTATGCAACCCCTTTTCTGTGGCTGGTGTACTGTTAAAAATGTAGGAGAAAACAGCTTTGCAATTAGCACTCGGTGTCCTGAGGGTCCCCATCTCCCCCAATCACATCACTCTGTCCTGCTCTCCCAGGCGTGTGTGTTGCTAAGCAGATGATGTGACTCAGGAACACGTGCTGCTATTCTTATAGTGTCAACATGGCGCAGACACATGGATAGCAGTGCTCTGAATCTGCCTGCATGTGCACCAGTGTTTACTGGAACCAAATCTCTTGAATTAAACCAAGCTGGGTTGTTGTTTTCTCCACCTCAACTGCTCACGTACTGTAAGCGCCGTGAGACTAGCTGAACCTTTTAGTCCTGTGTTCTTATATTTTGGGCACATTGGCGATTTACAGCAACATAGGGTGTGGTCTCCATACACGGGTGCTTCCTCTGTTGTGAGTGGGGTGTTTATGGGTCTGGCGCTGTTTCCTGACTCTCAGATAAGGACCACCCATCAAGACCTCATCACTCCAAATTCATAAACAGTGACTGATCCCTGGGGAGGCCCCAACATTTGTGTAGCAGAGCAGTGATTTAATTACTCAGCATTTATTAGTCTCCAGAAACATGATCGCAAACGCCTTGTTAACATATACCGTGACAACCCTGTTATAAATGTAGCATGGAGGGATGTGTCCCCCTCAGGGTATATTGTTAATGGGCAAAATATGTCAGGTTCAGGCAACATAGCTCAAGTAAGGCCTTTTATCTTCTTTGTTCCACTAATTGTTAGAAAGTTCTTTTCAGAGGTTAATCTGAGCTGAAACTAGGCGGGTGTGTAATCTGAGTCTGAAAAGATTGGATGTTAAGGTTATTCAATTCGGTCAGGCAGCACTAAATTGATGCCTTGGAGAAGCACTCAAGAGATGGAAAATACACTATCTGCTGGTTGTATAAAAAGAAAGAGGATGCAGAGGCTGTATTTTATTGTTCCACATGGCCATGGCTAATGGTCTCCATCCCTGGTGTGAATGGAAGATATTTGTGTGAGCGCGTGATGCATTATTTAAGAGTAAACACCGTGGAGACAGAGAGGCCTGGTGGTGGTGGGGTAGTATTGATTGTGACAGGCTAGAGGAGAGATGCACACCTCTCTTAAGTGTCTGGGGCTTCTCACAATGCCCCCACAAATCAACATTTATTGCTCTGGCTTTGGAGTCTCTGCCGTCAGCAGCCTATCAGGCAAAGCAGCTTAGCAGAGATAGCCTGCAGCAATCCCACAGTGGGCCTTAACGCCATCAATCGATCATTCATCACAGGTCCCTAAGAAACAAAAACAAGCAGCCAAAAGACAACCAGGGGAGAGACGCGGCTGAACTGGACTGTGTCACACAACTCTTGGCTGAGAGGAAAAACCCTGTCAGGTTTTATTTGGGAACAGTCCATGGCCTGTTCTGTGCAGCAGAAATTGAAACATTTGAGGAGGAGAGGGAGAAGAAAAGTAATGAGAAAAACTTTCTGAAAGAGGTCGAGTGAAATGTGGCTCCCTGGTGCCCCCCTCTCCTCTCTGCTCCCTCCCTCCTCCAGCCCTCCTGCACATTCCTCTCCCCTCAGCAGATCTGGCATTCCCCACAGGAGGCGGCAGCAACAGCAGCAGCACAGTAATCTTTTCAAAAGGGCGGATTTGAGTGGCCGCCAGGGCAGCCGGCCAACTATTTCTCATTTGGAGCTGGCCTGGAGATGACCCTCCTGTTGGAGCCCCACTCTCAGGAAAAACAAAAACTGCAGCACCAAGTAAGGGAGCACCTTGGCAACGCTGGAGAGCAGCGAACAGACTAGCAAAAGAAAATCAGGGAAACCGCACGCCTGCTCATGAGAACATCTGCACCCCCTTCCTGTGTAAAAAGAAAAAAATAAATTTAATACTGTCTGCATGAGTCCAAGGGACTTAACAAAAACATGGGAGGGTTGTGTTTCAGTCTTTTTTCTTGGAACTCATGGAACTGTCTGCATGTCTTTTTTTCCCCTTTGTTCATTTCCCTCTCTGTCTAACAATTTCCCAAGCCCAACAACCCCCCATCCCCCCACCATCCTCTCTTCCCTTTCCACAGCCCTCCACTGAGCCCTGGCCTCTTGCACTTTCAGTGGAAGCCCACCCTTGGCTTGGGAGGAGTTAGTCTGGGTCCCTGTTATGCTTGCTCAATGATGGATGGACAGGAAAACTAAGAATTCAAGTCCAGAATTCCCTGCTTTTACAGTGCGGTGGGGGAGATTCCTGAGTGTCTGTGTTTGACAGCAGCTGCAACTGCAACAACTTGAGGTCAAGACAAAGTACCCAGTAATTATTTGGGTTGTTTTTGTAAAAGTAATAGAAAAAAAAAGGCAGCTGGTAGAAGAAATAAAACAGAGAGAAGGAAGGACAAGATGTGGAAGTGCCTGGAGGCTTAAATACTTTGTGAGTCAGACCTAAGACATCAAATTCCACATGTTGGGTTCAGATATCGTGTCTGAATGCAATGTTTACTGCGACACTAGGCCCTTTCTTGACCACTGGGGCAATAACATGCCCCTGTGGCCAGCTTCAGGGAGGGAGCAGGGGATGACAACAAAGAAAGCACTTATGTTTTCCATCTAAAACCCATCTCTCACCCCCCCCATTCTCACCCCACCTCCACACACTCATCCACACCACTCCAAAAAAAAAAAAAAAAAAAAACCTTCAAGAAAAAATCTACAACAAATTCCCCAATCCCCCCCAAAAAAAAAAAAAAAAAAACAACGCTTCAGTAAAAACTCATCACACATCTGCCAGATCCGTTGAGGCCTGCCTCCAATTATCCACCCACCACACTGGAATCCCAGGAAGGCTCTGTCCGGCAGAGCGTTTGATGTTGCCACGCAACATTTGACAGAGAACAGGGTGGCTTTGAAAATCAGAGAGTAAACTTGCCTGACAAGTTTGACGTGAAGAAAGAGGGAATGGTGGTGGAGGAGGGGGGATTGGGGTAGACAAGGAAAATGCCACTAGATGGAAAGCAGCTGCTGACGGCTGGGAAACATTGCTTTAAACGGGGCCAAATGTGGTGGAGCCCTACCAGATCTCAGCCAAGTGGCCAGCATTTACTCTTCTGGGGCTTTTTGCTGATGTGTACAAAGAGGAACTGAAGAGCAGAGTAAGTTGCAAAAGCACTTACAATAACTAAAGACATAATTGAATATTTTGGTCAGGCTCCTGCACTGGGCTTTCTTTGTGCCATGTTTATAAAAGC